GAGCCAAAAATCTTGCTGGATCATAAGAGGACACTGCAGGAAAAACTGCAAACCTGGTGAACAGGTTAAAAAGCCATGTAAAAATGGTGACTATTGCTGCATTTCAAGCAAGACAAATTCTCAACCACAGAGACTACCCACAATCATCTACTACGAAAACCCAAACTTTTGGTAATGATTTTGGAGATAACCAAAATTTATCAGTAATAATCATTATGGACAATAAGAATTTAGAATGAAGCAGAAAAAACATGAGAATTTCTCAGATAAGGGATTGTCAACCCGGTCTCTCTTTCATGGGTCCATTAAAGCACGTGACCTCCTGTCTGCTGTTACTCATCCCTGTCCTCACAGAGCTGGATTAAGACTTCGAGCTGCCCATGGCACTGAAAATATCATGGTGTCCCATCCCCACCAATATTTAATTCTAAACAAAACAATAATAAACTAATTAAATAGTTAGAAGGAAATCCAGAAGATTTTCAGTATTTTCCATGAAAACTTCCTCAAATAATTTTTTTTGAAACATCAACTATCAAATTACTTTACCCAAGAAAAACACTTTTCCATTTCTTTTGTGTCTGCTTTGTTACTGTCCCATGTATATGGCATATTCTTTCCATCTGGGCCTCTGTTTTTCCAAAAAGGGCTTGGGAATCCTCTGAGAAGTTCCTTGTGTTGTATCTGCCTTCTTGTTCAACATAAGTAGTTCCTTGTTTATTGGTTTTTTGTTTTTTGTTTTACCAATAGCTACCAGGACACTGAAGTCTTTTTTAAACAAAATAGAAGACACTGAAGATAAGTGCATCTCATTTACTACTAACTCACCTTTGGTCCTAAGCTTGTTTAACATCCTGCCCCAGAATGGAGCTAGGCTGGAAGTGAACTCAGATATTCTTCTGCCTCCTTAGCTAAAAGGGCCAGAAAACAAGGACAGCCTCATTGATTTATTGTCTTCATGGTCTTATTTTCTTAACCCAAGCTCTGATCATATTTGGCAATCCAAGGACCTACATAGGAGGCAGCTGAAAGCTGCAAGATAATACTTGCCCTTCTGAGGGTGTGTGTGTTGGGGCAAGAAAAGAAATAAGGACCCAGAAAAGAATATGGAAAAAAACTCAAATAAATATTCCAGCATAAGCACCATGGGGAGGAAAGAGCTCAATGTCAGTTCCGTTTTATACTTTCTGTTACACTCACTAAGGGATCCATTCTCAAGGGCCACTTGAGAGTCCCCAAGGACTCCATATTGGTTTTGGTCTTTGTACATCTCCACCTCCTTGGAAACTCAACAAGGTGAGAAGCCCTGAGTTTCCCCTCATGACTTCAATGTGTGATGATCTCACATTGTGGAAATTTTAGGAAAATCTTGTCCTAAATCAGAATCACTTAGAACAGCAGCTGTGGTTAAGACCAGGAGTACTGGCCACAATCCTGCAGAAAGTTCCTGGACCAATAGCCCTCATCCAATTAGTTTTTATTACTAAGTTACTATGAGCTCCCTGCTGATATCATTCTCTCTAAACTATAGATGTTGAAATATTAGGAACTCTATTTCACTTCTTGGAAACCTAACAACAAGTAAACTTGAGTTACAAGAATAAACCACTACTGAAACACAGAAGCACTCAAAAAAGAAAATAAATAAATAAATAAGCTGTAACGTAGAGACTAAAACTATCGTCACGTTACAAGTAAGAAAACTTAGGTCCAGACCAGGAGCATTGGCTCATGCCTATAGTCCCAGCACTTTGGGAGGCCAAGGTGGGCAGATCACTTGAGGTCAGGAGTTTGAGACTAGCCTGGCCAACATGGTGAAACCCTATCTCTACTAAAAATACAAAAGTTAGCCGGGCATGCTGGTGGGCACCTGTATTCCCAGCTGCTCAGGAGGCTAAGGCAAGAGAATCACCTGAACCCAGGAGGCAGGGGTTGCAGTGAGCTGAGATCATGCCACTGCACTCCAGCCTGGACAATAGAATGAGACTTCATCTCAAAAAAAATAAAAAAGAAAACTGAAGTCCAAAAGGGTTAATTTTACTCTTGATTCAAAAAATGCTTTCTAAACACTTATATTGAAAGACATTTTTGTTGACACTGGGGCTATATTGTTAAAAATGACAAGTTTGTTGCCTATTCTAATGAAACATATTGTCTAGTAAAGAGAGTGAAAAATAAACAAGTGAAAAAAGAAATAAGCTGTGATTACTACTACAAATGAAACAAGAAAGAGGCTCAAACCAGACAGCGACTTGGATGACCATGCCTATTTTCAATGGAGTATTCAGAGAGATCCCTTCTGAGAATGTGACATAAAGCAAGAAGGAAATAGCCATGAAAAAAAATCACAGGAACATGGCTCTTAGAAAAGGATACAAAGTATATGTGACAGGTGGTGTTTAAGTCTGGATAAGATAGAGTATGTTGCAGAACAAATAAACCCTGAAATCTCAGTGGCTTAACAACAACATTTTATTTTTCTTTATACAAAGTCCATTGAGGGTCACACAGACTTCCTCCATCTTGTAGTTATAGCATCTGAAGCATGTAGCATCTAAGATTATCATAGCAAGGGAAAAGAGAGCTGGAAGATCATGTTAAATGATCTCAAGGACATTTTTCTATTTATCCCCATTGGCCGGAACCCAGTCATATGACACCAACCTACCTTCAAGAAAGGCTAAAAGATGTGGAAGGAGCACATGGATATTTGATGAGCACTAACAGACTCTACCACAGTTTGAAATGGTGATATCCACTTACTCCCTTCTTCCCAAATATCGATCACACTCATTGCCTTCCCAAGAGACACAACCCAAAATCCAATCCAACTCAAAGCCAGTATTCCTGGCAATACTTGATCCTCATCAGGTCCAGATGTAGGACCTGTGTCTCCTCAGTCTGATACCCTATGACCGAAAAGGACAAGTTATCTGTCCACGCACACTTATATCTATGCCATGTAAAATGCTGAGTCCAGACTAAAATAATTGCAACAAATGTTCTGCTCTGGAAAGTCATTGGTCCATACCAATGTTGAAATGCTATTGGGCCCATATTGTAAATCTCATACCTGTACCTAATGAGTCCTAGCTGAGGCCCTAATTCTGCTCTCTGAGATGAATTCCTTTGCCCTTCATGCATTGTGACTCCTGACTCCATTCCCTTGGAGCTTTCTCCTTAGCCATAATTTTTGGCCGTAACTGAAATTGGTGTTTGGGAGCTTGCCTTTGAAGCCTGCCTCCCCTCTTGGAAGATTGGAGCACCAAAGATAGTTTTACAGCTCAGACAGAGAGTTAGTTACCCCAGGGTTAATGGTTTCTTTGGCAATATGGTATCTTTGAAGACTTAGTAGCCTTCTTAGTTAGCCCCTAATCCTTAATAGGCACATAAGCTATTTGCATCCAGGCAGTTCCATCTGCAACTAACCAAACTCAGTATTCCTTCCTACGCTTCTCAAATTGTTTTATGATTCCTTATGCTGTTGCTCACTTGGTTTCCCTGTCTCTCTCTCTCTCCCCCCACCTGCAACTACCTTTAGGTCATCAAATTTAAGTTCAAAGTTCACATGACTAAACTAATAATCTATTCTCTCACTCTTCATATATTATAGCATACAATGTGATATTATGAAATATTAATATGTACACACTGTGAAATGGCTAAATCCAGCTTGTTAATATATGCATTACCACATACTTACCATTTTTTCTGTGTGGTAAGAACACTTAAAATCTTCTCTAGCAATTTTCAAGTATATAATTCATTGTTGTTAATGGTAGTCACAATGTTGTACAATAGATCTCCTGAACTTATTCCTCCTGTCTGTGCAATTTTGCATCCTTTGACCAACATCTGCCCAGTCCTCCTTACCCCCCAGACCTGGTAACCATCATTCTACTCTCTGCTTCTATGAGTTTGACTTTTTAAGATTCCACATGTAAGTGAGATCATTTATTTATTAATTTGAAAATAGTCCGCCACCATGCTACGCTGTCCACATGGATCTATCCAGAAGAGAAGTGTCCTCAATCACAAGGCAACCCTGCTAATTCCATCAATTTTTGTCATTGTGAAGGTCATCATTTCCAGAAGAGAAAAATCAGCAACCTCCTCTAAAGCTTTACAGAGACTTTTTGAGCCAAATAAGAGGGAACAAAAGTTGAAACAGGATGAAAATGCAAATAAAGCAACGCAAGACCTAGGCTAACTCTGGGGGTGACATCAAGGTTCTGCCTCCCAAAAGCAGGCCTAAATGTTGGGGTCTTTGTGGACAGCTCCCAGACCTCTGATGTCCCTCATGGTGCCCTTGTCAAAAGTAACACCCCAACTTATTGTAGATCTGCCTTCGGTAAGGATTTTTTTTTTAATGACATTGAATAGTATCCTCCTTTGAATTTTATAAATGATCTCCCTCAAACTTCTGCAGCAAAGTATTTCTTGGCCAAGTCATTTTTCCTGGTGGGCACATAAGAGAGGGATTTGGCTTATAGATTGACACATGTTCATTATCGTCTATTTCCACAAACCTTCACTGAGAGCATGCTTTGTGCCATGGAGACTCAAAAATGAAAGACACATTCCCTGTTCTCAGGAATTTCACAGTCCAGTGCAGGAGACACACAGATAAGTAGACGATTCAAAAGCAGGATTATGCTAGAGTGAGATAGGCTGTGAAGAATGGTCGGGCCCTAATAAGAGATCGAGGAAAGCCAGAGATGTCCCAGTGTGAATCCTCCCACTCCGTTGCTCCAAACGCCTCCTCAAAGCCTGTGACTTGTAGCCCTCTGCCTGCCCTCCCAGTTCCTGGATCAAATGCTCAGCCTGTGTGCCACAGAACAGACTGATGATATGCATGGATAAGCTCTTAGATATCTGGCTGGTTCAGTGCCCATCCCTCTGCCCCTACTGCAGAGAAGCCAATAAAACTCTTGTTCAGACCCACACTGCACACAGTGTTCTGAACACCTGGATCTACCGCCTCCTGTTTCCCAAGGACCATGAAACCCCTGCTCCTGGCTCTTTCAATGCTTGTGCTCCTACCCCAAGTGATCCCAGGTAATCAGAGGCTAGGGAAGCTACAAAAATAGAGGTATACTGGGTTCTGGCTCACGAACGTTCCAGTGTGTCACTCAACCCCCAACCTGGGCAACTCCACGGCTCCCACACTGGGACTATGTTCCTGACTGGGGTAAAACCTGGGAGCAGAGCAAGTTATCCTCAATAGACAGGGGCACTCCCACCATCCAGAGCTGTGCTTTGTTCTGTATTCCAAGTTGCTACCTAAGGAACTAGAGGAAAGCTAGACTCACTTCCCTTCTCTTTCCAGCTTGTGCCAGCTCTTGAAAATGATTCCCGCAGCCCACTTTGCTATGTTTCCTTGGTCCTAAAAGTCCTGCTTTAGGACTTTTAGCTGTAATGAGGTTCTTTTTGTTTTCTAATATTCTAGAATTTGGTGAACAGGTCAGAAAATATCGGCCGAGCTATTATACGGAAGACAGAACTGGTTTTTCTTCTTCCTTCTACAATGGAAATCTAAGCTTTTCGTAATCACTGCTTTCTTAAGTATATGTAAAGGTAAGACCAGAACTTTGAAATCACTGGTGAAGAAGCCTGCTTTCCCTTTTGTTTTATGTTTTTCAAGATGCATTTCAATGTATGATTGAACTTACATAAAAATGAATCCAAACATTTCTGTTTTATAACAAAGTAAGCACACTCTGTGCATGGCTATGCAGTAATCTTTTTTTTTTTTTTTTTTTTTTTGAGATGAAGTTTCACTTTTGTTGCCCAGGCTGGAGTGCCATGGTGCGATCTCAGCTCACTGCAACCTCCACCTCCCGGGTTCAAATGATTGTCCTGCCTCAGCCTCCCAAGTAGCTGGGATTACAGGGGTGCACCATCATGCCTGACTAATTTCTGTATTTCTAGTAGAGACAAGGTTTCACCATGTTGGCCATGGCTGGTCTGGAACTCCTGACCTCAGGTGATCCACCAGCTTTGGCCTCCCAAAGTGCTGGGATTACAGGCGTAAGCCACAGCGCCCGGCCCTATACAGCACTATTATTTCACTTATTATTTTGTGGCGATCTTTCCCTGTTACCAATCTAAATATCTGCCTCGTTGTTTATAAAGTTGTAAAGTTCCACTGTGGAATGCCATATAAAGTCATATATAGTCATTTGAGACATTTCTTAATTTTCTAACAACACATTAATGAATATGCTTGTACAAATATTAATATATTTACATATTTGAACAATGGCTTAAATAGGATAGATTCCTAGAAAGCAAATAACCAAGTTAAAGGTAAGTCTGGTGGGGTGGGAAAGAAAATAAAGGTAAGTCTAAAAATATTTATTCCATTAAAGCCTCTATTCCTCTGCCTTCATTGCAGAGAGGCCAATAACTCTTGTTCAGACTCCCACTGCACACAGTGTTCTGAATGGCTTTCCTTTTATTATTCAGCCTAGAGTGGTGAAAAAAAATGCTGGAACAAATCAGGGCACTGCAGGAAACAATGCAAAGATGGAGAAGCAGTGAGGGAAACATGCAAAAATCTTCGAGCCTGCTGCGTTCCATCCAATGAAGACCACAGGCAAATTCCTACGACATCTTCCACACCCTTGAACGATTCCTCACCAGGAATTATGGATGATGTCGCAACAATAATGTTCACTACGGACTACTTTGAAGTAAGCAGCAAGAAAGACGTGGCTGAAGAGTCTGAGTCAGGATGAGGAACTCAGACCTCTCTCCCAAATGTTCACCATAGCTCATGACTTCCTCTCGGATGTCACTCGCTCCTGTCCTCAGAGTGTTGAACTAAGTCACATATAGATAAAGCACTGAAAACACCACAGTGACCCTCTCACCCCCCCCACCAATATGTAATTCTATTAATAGATACAAACAGCTATGTAAATAAGTCTAAAATTGTCACTATTTGCAATGATAAACTCTTCAGTGCTCTTCTTGAAATGTCAAATTATTTCCACAAGTTTTAACCTATTTTTAGTATTTCTTGTTTGCTAGTGACCTATGCACCACCTCAGTAGCTTAGTTAACTATTCCAACAACAATTTTTTTATGTGTCTTCCTATCTTCCCAACAGGTAAGTTCTAATAGCAGCATAAGTGGTCATGATCAAAAGTCTAAATCTTTGCATCTGTGAGAGTAGCTACTAGGACACTAAAAGCTTTTTTTTCTAGAACAGGAGACACTTCAGGTGAAAGCATTCATTTTCCTACTATGGTCTTGGAGCCATGTTTCACCTCTCACTGTAGGAAGTTGGCTGTCCCAAGTGTGAGCTATGAAGACTCCTCTTTGTCCCAGTGGCTTCGGGGTTGAAATAGACGCTGTCGAAAAGCTTCAATGGCTCCATAGACCCATTTCTTTGACCAAGTCTTGATCTTACATGGACATCCAAAGGTAAGGATGCCCCTCATATGTGGGTGAAAGGATGGGTGATTTGTCCACCTGATTACTGAGAGCTTTACTTGTCTCCCTCTGATACCAAAAAAAGTTTTCACACCTGTCCCATCCATATAACCCTACCACAGACTTCATTGTTACAAATCTTCCAATTTTGCTCTTCCCAAGTACCTAAACAACCAGCCAATCCATTACCAGTGCTCATGAATTACTATAGATCCATACCTAGGCAAGCCTTCCTTCTACTGGAAAGATTTCCCTTAACCACTGGCTTTTAGGTCACCGCTACATAAGGCTGTAATGCAGCACTTCTGTCTGGTGCTAGCCCATCATGTAGATCATTCTACAAATCTGGCCTTGCTTGTTCCTCCTTTGTTGACTAACCATAGGAACCCCTCATGATACCATTAGTGTGTGATGAAGGAAAGGCAATAAAACAGCAATGGGTGCCGTAGGGATCCTAACCACCTGCTTCGGCAGTTTATGCTTGCCAAACCTGCTAGGTTCCAGTTTTGAACACATCACTTTCACCTAACATTGAAATGCTTCTTCACAGCTCTAATTGTATTATCCAAGGGGTTAGATAATACCTAATTCATGATGGGAAATTTGGGTCTTATTATTTTTTCAAACTTCTTATTCCTGATCAGTCTGATATTTGAAGTCTTTGAAAGTCTGAATCTCTAGTCTGTGATTTCTGCTTACCTTAATTCATGCTGCCTTATTTCCTTGTGTGTTTTGTGATTTGAGACTCTCTGGTCTGTCCATTTTCCTCAGAAGTTTAGTTGAGTTAACTAGTTGAGTCCTAAGTTAAAGGTCTACTCCTTTGTTTGCTTCTGTCTGTTTGGCACTACGAGTCTGGGACAACTTTAAGCTTGTTTTTTTTTTTTTTTTTTTTTTTTCCGTATGATCCATATACTGTGAATTCAGGCTGAGAGACTATATGAGATCTACCTTGAGGTAATAAATTCTCAGTGAAGATTTTTTTCTATTTGCTGAGTAGTTAGGTTCAAAACCAGGTAATTTCCCTTGAAAACCTCTAGTGAAGGAGAAGGGACGCTATATCTGCTTTACTTTTACACAGCATATGTAACACTTTAAAGACAGGTTTATGTAGGGATCTCCTACTAGACTCATATTTTTTCAGAGCCTAGTCACTGCCCTCTCTCCCCTGCCCACATCCACCTTGGCCAAAGCCGTGGAAACCGAAGCTCAAGTTCACCTGATTCAGGAAGTGTCTTTGTGACAAAAGCCAGCTTCAGTTACTGCCTTTGAAAGAGTGCCCACTTGCACTTGGTTTTAATATTCTTGGCCTTACTTTCTTGCAAGGTTAAAGATGCCTTAAAGTTTTGTTATATATTTTAAGTAAGTTTTTTCGCTGTTTTCAGTGGCAGGATCAGCCTGGGTTCTTCAACCACTATTCTTCCTGAAACAGAGGTCCAAAACCAACACTTTTATCCAGATCATAGATTTTGTTGTTGGGATGGGTGGCAGCACCAACGGAAGGAGAAAAAAGGACCATTGTCAAAGGATGAAACTATCGCTCAATGTCTAAAACCAAAATGCTGAAGTGATTGCTTTCTTAAAAACAGGAGAGCCATGCTGCTCCATCATAAGTTCCTTCAGCAGAGCAAAGTGTTGAACTTGTACAGCATTTGGGGAACACATTTTGAGGGAGTCGTGTTGGCTACAGAGGTGGGAATTGGTCAATGACAATTTAGAAGTGTATACACTGAAACGAATTCAAACCTGATTGGCATAATCAAAGCATAATGCTGTCACTGACAATTAGCTTTCAGAAGTGTGTTCCCTAAAGCAAGTTGTCATTGATCAGTGAAAAAAGTTTAAAATGTTTCAAGGTATTTACTTGTTATAATGACCATAGGACTATCAGCCCTTTCCTAGGAATGTGGAGAGTTTTTATTCTCAGATGAGAACAGTAACCCCAGAAGAATCCAATGGACAAATAACAGAAGAGGAATCCCAAAAGATGATGGAGAAGGGGCAGCCTGAAAGTTAGGAAGAAAACAAAGAAAGCGTGAAATCACAGAAGACTAGGCAGTTAAGGTTTTCAAGGAGAGAATAACCTATAGAGGAAATGCTGCCCAGAGGCAGATTGAGATACAAGTTGAGGAACATTAGGAAACTTTCAAAAAGGAGGTCCAGCTGCACTTGTTTATGTTTCTGTTTAACTTGTGGACAAAGCCTTATAGACAGGTGCAAAAAATAAATCCTCTTTTGCAACCCAGAACTCATTGTTTAGTAGGAGTTTTGATACGTATAAGAAGGAATCATATTATGAAAATAAGAGGCCCACAAGTGAGCTTGGCCAGAGCCAATTCAATAGCACAGTAAGCACAAAGGCAAATTGTAATGAGTGAGGAGAGTCAGAAAATTAGAGAAAGATAATGGGTAAGTACTACTCTACTTTTGACAGAATTTAGAACTTATTAGTGGGAGCTAAGACTTTAAAAGTGAAATTAAAATTTTATATTAAAAAGCTGGTTTTAGTTGTCATTGGAGGCCTTAGCCTCTCAGATTTTGAAGAATTAAAGGAACTTAACTATCAACAACAGCATCCAATATTCAAAGACCATCTGCAACAACCACCAAACAGACCCTTCAGCCTCACAGATTGAAACCAGCACAGCTTATTCCACATTACAACAGGTCTGTTGGTTACAAAGTTTTTTCATGAACTAGGTCAAAGTTGTCCACAAGACCTCCACCTACTTCCCTATGTATCCATCTCACTGGTTGTAGACCCTCTCTGAGTTCTACATGGCACAGATTAAGTCATAATCTGCCTAAACCCTTCAAACCTCCCTCATTGGATTCATTCTCCCCCCTTTCTCACTGGCTTGTCTAGCTTCTCTGTAATTGTTACCCCAGTTTTCCAGTCTTCTCTCTCACAGGGCCCATCGAGAATGAGACAGGCATTGTCACCATGCAAAGCCCAATCTCTCACTGTGATTTCCACTGGATCAAAGACAGACAAGTGTGGCAGGTACATGAATTTTAATGAGGGGGGTTGACAGCAGGTCTCGGTGCCCAGGGAGCTTGAGAATGGTAATCACCAGCACTCAAGGCAGCCTTGGCCACTGCTTCCCATAAGACCAGTCGGTATTTTCCTCTTTGCCAGAAATGCTTATCCTCATGTAGGACTGGAGGCAGCAGGACTGATAATTTCTGCAATAGAAGTATGGCTGTTCATTCTTTTTGCAAGAGGCCCTACAGATTCCACTGTTACCCATGCATCGAAGGATGTGACGTTTGCCTGGCAAAAGAAAAAATATATGTAAATAGTTAATTTCCACCTAGGAATGACATAAATCTGGTAAGTTGGGAAGCATCATAAAAGCCTAAAGGGGGAAAAAAAAAAACCTAAAGGGTAATAATGACTTCCACTTCCAGAGACCTCAGGGCCTAAGGAAGGACACAGCCATGAATTCCCTGGGTTTTCCTTTTGCCTCATCAAGCCCAGACTTGTGCTGGAGAGACTGGCAACCTAGAAACACAAACTCATGCAGACATAGAGTCCCAAGAAAAGTCTCCTCTCTGTAGCCAAAGAACCAGGAAAGGTCAACCTAGCAAGAGAGAACATTTTAGACAATAACCGCTCAGCTCCAGGAAAAACCAAAGACAAAATTACACTCCCACTCATACATCCACCAAAGAAGGCCACATGGGGAGCCTCAAATTCTGCCCTCTCTCCACGTTGTAAGGAGGTGTGGGGAGCAGGGAATGTTATCGCTGCTGGATGGTCACAAGGCCCATCACCACCATGCAGTGTCGATAGGAATCATGTGGGGAACATCGATTTCCCCTATCTGGTGGGAAGAAGGCATCCATCTCTCTACCTCCCTGATAGGGTTGTGACAGAGGGGGCCTAGTGTAGAGTCAGGACTTCCACCGCCACACAGTAGTAACAGGGCCACCACTCCCTGCAATGTGACTTGGAGGCCACCTGGGGAACAGAACGTACCTCCCCATCTCAACCAAGTAGAGGAGATACACCTGGGCTTCCACCCCCACCTCGCAGTATCCAGGCAGCACCCCTCTGTCCTCACCAGAGCCATGTCAGAGGAGGCAAGCCAACAAAGATCATTGAAATACAATCCAGTATCTCATAACATAATACCAAAAATGTCCAGGTCCCAGCAAAAATTACTCATTATAATTATAACCAGGAGAATCTCAACTTTAATGAAAAAAAAGGCAATCAACAGAACTGAGAGCAACCCTAGTTGTGTGTATCTATAGTTCATTCCTTTTACTTCTGAGTAATATTCCATGGTACACATGTAGCACAGTCTATTTAACCATTTGTCTATTGAGGGCCATTTTGGTTGTTTCCAGGTCTATTGGGAGTTTGAGGTTTTTTTCTAAGACCATGTGTTTCTTT